AATCACATCGGTTACACATCCACGTTTTTACATACTGCCATACTATTGTCTGTTGTATTCTGCTGTCTTTCCTATCCTCTCCTATCCCCCCTCCCCTCCCCTCCCCTCCCCTCCCATCTTCTCTCTCTACCCCATCTACTGTAATTCATTTCTCTCTCTTGTTTTTTTTTCCCTTTCCCCTCACTTCCTCTTATATGTAATTTTGTATAACAATGAGGGTCTCCTTCCATTTCCATGCAATTTCCCTTCTCTCCCTTTCCCTCCCACCTCTCATCCCTGTTTAATGTTAATCTTCCACAGAAAATTCTTAACCTGGTTTCTCCAGAAATCTTCACCATGGCTGTTTTTAGGACTGTTAACAAAAGAGTTCAATGTAGATAAACTTCCTCTTTTCCTGTCGCCCTCTTACTAGTTTTTCACAAACATAGTAGTTTCTAGAAATGTGCAAACAATGCCACTGGCATTGAGCTGGGCTTCACAGAGATATCTACATTTTTAAGATAAGTTACCAACTGGGCTCCATGGTAACAACTGGCAGGGAGAGGAAAAAAATGGAAAAGGAGCTCTCCCCTTCTCAGGTGTTGTCCTTGAAGAGGTAACTTGCCCAAAACAGTGCAAGAAAAAGCTGTTTTATGTGAACTTCTGAGCCCCTCCCCTTACATGCTGGATATAAAATTCTGAAACTATCTGAACTCGGGGTTCATGGGGTTGATTGATTACAGAAAAAGCTATGCCCTCTGAGCCTGGCTGCAGCCAAATAAAACTGTTTCCTGCTATGTTCGGTGCCTTGCCTCATTTGTCCCAACAACAGTACTGTGGTATCCTGGCACTGCCTGGACTCTTCCCTCCCACTGCTTCTCCCTAGACTGGGCTCCAAGAATGGGTCCTGGCTCCCCATCAACCCCCCCAATTCTGGACAAAAGGTATCCCCTCACAGTGCCCTCCTTTGGTCCAGGTCTCTAAGGATCTACTCACCTGGGGCTGCGGAGTGGAATTGGCTGGCCTCTGCCCCCTGAAGGCCTAGTGCCGACCTTGCCCGCCCAATCCCCTCCCTTCCATCCCATGCCCTCTAGCCTTGCATGCTGCCCCTACCCCAACCTGGCCCTCGTAACCCTGACTGTTCATGCTCCAATCTCCAGGCCTGGCCACTCATCTGAGCCCCTGATGGCATTCTTTGGGTCAAGTGGCTTCTCATAGAGTCTCTTGGTGTCGGGTCTGACCTGGAGGCCCCTTGCTTGGGCATCCTAGTGCGCTCCCCTCCTTGCCCTTTTCACCACCCTCTGTCTCCTCATCCTACCACCGCCCCTTCCTCTCCTTTCCCTAGAGCTTTCCCCTGGAAAACAGGCCTCCTGCTCCTTGGGTTCCTTTCCTCTTTGGTCAAGTTGGTCCTTTGCCTGGAATCCTTGCTTGGGTCCTGGCTCTTGCCCCTCTCCGCACCCACCACAACCCTGTGCAATGCTTTCCCATCACCGTCCTCCTGTAACTTGTCCCTTGCCAGGACCCCCTTGATTCTCATCTGGGCCAGGACACCTGGTGGGAAACAGAGTCCTGCCCCTCACCTGGGACCCATGGTCTCCCTGGGCCCTTGGTCCTGCTCCCAGAACCATGACACCTGGCAGTGGCACTGGCACTCGAGCCTGGCTCCCCCCTGCTGAATCCCCTGCCTTCCTTCCCCAGCCCTGTCCACTGTCCTGAGCCCCCTGCCCACACGCTGGCCCTTGGCTCTCCATTCCCTGGCCTGGCTCCTTACTTGACCCTCTGGTGGCCCTTCTTGCTCTGTGCACCCCTGGGCTTGAACTGCGGGCCCCTTGCTTGGAGTGCTTCCCTGCTCTCCTTGGCTTCCCTGGACTGCAGAACCCTAGTGATGCCCTCCTACCTGGCCCCAACCTTTCCTGCACCTCCATGGCCTGGGCCCTCCTCTAGGTCCCTAGCCTGGGCTCCTTGCTGGGGTCCTGGCGCTTACCCCACCAACACCCATCCTGTGGCCCTTCACGCTGTGCCTTTCTTTGGCCTTCCTCTCATCCCTGTCCCTTCCAGGACTCTTTTCCTGACTCTTTCCCCAGGATTCTCACCAGGGCCAGGGAACTAGACCTGTTTTTTGTCCCTGTGGGCTCCCTTTGGGAAAATGTAGCCCTGCCACATGTCTGTGCCCTTTGGCCTCCCTCAGCGGAGCCTACGTCTCCAACCCTGACACCCAGCAGTGTACCTAGCCCTTGAGCCCTCCAATCCCGGTGCTACCCACTTACCTTTCTCCCCTCCCTCCCCTTCCCAGTCCTGTCCCTTTTTATGCAACCCTGTCCAGGGTCAAGGCACTTGGCTCTCCATTCCTGGGCCCGGTTCCTTGCTGGAACCCCTGGCCGTTCTTCTCGAAGACCCTGTCCCTGTCCCTTGATTTCAGGCTCCATTTTCGAGCCCCTGCTGTGCCTCCCCTCAGTTCCCCTTGTACTGTGGTATCCTGGCACTTCACAGACCCGACCCTCCCCCTGCTTCTCCCTAGCCTGGGCTCCTCAAATGGGTCCTGGCTCCCCCTGACCGACACCCAATTCCCTAAGCAAAAGATCCATTCACAGTGCCTTCCTTCGATACTCCTTTGGTCCTGTCTCTGAGGATCTACTTACCTGGGGCAGAGGAGTGGAATTGGCTGGCTTCTGCGCCCTGAAGGCTCCCTATGGGAAACACAGACCTGTCCCACACCTGGGCCCCCTTTGCCGCTGGAACCCTCTCCATGCACCCCACGTCTGTCTGAGGTGCATCTTTCTCTCTTTCTTTCTGGAGGGTGATGTGGGCACTGGACGGCTATTTAAATGCAACTAGTGCAGCTGCCACTCTTCAAGACTTGGGTGAGAGGTTTCCCGGCCTAGGAAGCTCTCAATCACCTGTTCCATACAGAGCAGGCATGTTGGGTTCTGCCAAAGCCACTTCCCACTTTTCTGTCTGGGCCTGGAGAACAATTGGCGTGAGTACACAGTGTCCCTAATTCCATCTGCTTTGGATGTGTGGAGGTGGAGGAAGGAGTTTGGGACACCTGCAGAATTCCGGTTTGGGCTACACTCAAAAGGATTCCTAAGGTTCCTTTCTCTTGAACCCCCTCCTGACTGCCTTAAGGTGTATCTAAGGTGATCGGTAGATGAATGGCACTGGGGGAAAGCCCCAATTACATTTGCCTGTATATGGGCTGGGCAACACTCCCAACCCCACATCCATTCCCTCCTGGATGCTCCCCTTCCTTCGCGGGTCAGAAACACTAGCAATTCAGGTTGTAGGACTGAGAAAGATATAGGATAATTAGTAAAAAGGTGCCCAGGTTCCCCTCATGCGCATAGGTAACTTTCACTAGTCTGTGTTAAAATTTCCCATTACTGCTCCGATGTTTAAAATGTTCTGTGTTCTCTTTAAGCTGCCAGAGGGAGGCATTTTTAGAATCAACTCTTCTGGGAGTCCCTCTGATAGAAAGTGCCATATTCCTTACAACCAGTGATATCCCTCATCCCCAGGAGATTCCTTGAGTCTTTGGGGCAAAAAGGCCACAAGAAGAGTAGGCGATTCTCTTTTGCTGTGGGTTTTATAGTGGCAGGGAAGAAGGCAGTAATGCCCTTAAGTCTGAATCCTCCCAGAGTCTCTGGCACAGGGCACACTGGGAATCTAGCACTTTGCCAAAGGGGACCAGAAACACCCTTGGCAAAGCAAGGTGAGAGACAGGTTTTCTGGACCATAAGGAAGCTCAAGCTTAGGGAGACGTTCCTAATGAGAACAGTTTTCTCCAGCGTGGGTGCCTGAGTCCTGTTTTTTCTCTTCTCACTCAGATGGGAGCTTCTCTCTCCAATAGGCTAGGTCCACCACTAACCTGCATATTGAAAAATTGGGAGAAATTTGACCCATAGACACTCAAGAAAAAGCGCCTCATTTACTTCTGCCGCCAGGCCTGGCCTCAATACAAACTCCCTGATAAAGAACCCTGGCCACCGGAGGTAAGTATCAATTTTAATACAAATTTACAGCTTGATAAATTTTGCAAAAGGGAAGGGAAATGGTGTGAGGTGCCATATGTCCAGGTTTCCTTTGCCCTAAGGGAAAACCCCAAATTATGCCAACAATGTAAAGTAGACTTAGCTATGATATCTGCCATGAAGAGAGAAAATCTTAAAGAATCACCTCCTGAGGAGAAAGGATGAGGAGGACCCACACAATCTCCATCTCCTGTTGATGTGCAGCAGTGGCCCTCCTGTCCCCCATACCCTGGCCTCTACCCTGGCCTCTCTACATCTGCCCCAATAGACAGATCAAATATATTACCTCTCCAGGAGATGCTAGGAGGAGAGTTTGGACCAATCCAAGTACATACCCCCTTCTCCCTTCAAGTCCTAAGGCAGATAAAAATAGACTTAGGGAGATTTTTGGAGGACCCAGATAAATATATTGAGGTATTTCAAAACTTATCCCAGGTGTTTGATCTCACCTGGAAAGATTATGCTATTACTCAACCAGACTTTGACTTCCAATGAGAAGGAAGCAGCCCTAAAAGCAGCTGAAGAATTTGGGGATGACCTACACCTTGCTCTTGCCCCAACAGCACAGACTAGGAGCAAACCCAATTATCCATCTGGAACACAGGCAGTTCCCAGAAACGATCCTGACCAGGACCCAAATGATGAACCCAAATGATGATACTTGGAAAATTAGACATTTTCAAATGTTGGTCCTTGAGGCCCTCAGGCGAATCAAGCAAAAGCCCATTAACTATTCTAAGGTTTCAGAAATTATTCAGCGCCCCCAGGAAAGCCCTGCTATTTTCATGGAGAAACTCAGGGAGGCAATGAGAAAACACACCACTGTGGATCCTGAGTCCACAGAGGGCCAACTACTTTTAAAGAACAAATTTATCACTCAGTCAGCCCCAGACATTCGGAGGAAGTTACAAAAATTGGCATATGGCCCCGATTAATCTTTAGATAACGTCCTCCAGATCTTTCCAGTCGGACCAGGACCAGTTGGTTTTGTGCATACAATCCTGTTTATCTATGAAATGCAGTTAACATATCAGCTGGACCTATTTCCTGAATGCAGAGTGACTCTTCTGTTATTTAAAGATGTAAAAAATGCTGGAGACTTGAGAAAAAAGGCCATGGAAGGCACCATTGATGGTGCATTGATAAATCCTTCAGTGATTGTTGATCCTTTTCAGATACTTGTGGCAGCAAATAAAGCAGTTCACCTCTACAAACTGGGAAAAATGAAGACGAGAACTCTGTCTACTGAAATTATTTTCAACCTTTCCCCAAACAACAATATTTCAGAGGCTTTGAAAAAATTTGGTATCTCAGCAGATAATACTTCAATTTTAATTGTTTACGTTGAAGAGGGAGAAAAACAAGTAAATCAAAAATACCTAATATCTCAAGTAGAAGGTGACCAGATTTCTCTGAAAAATCTTCCTGAAATAACGAATATTTCTGAAGTCAAAAAGATATATAAAGTGTCTTCACAAGAAGAAAAGATTGGGACATTATTGGGTGGTATCATTAGCAGAATGTCAACAAAAGATGTTTTATAAAATGTTAGAAATATTAACAGAAATTTTCAGCTTTAAATAAAACATTGGTTTTTCTTTCCTGATTATAAAATTAAAATGTTTATAATAGAAATTTTTTTTTTTTGATCCTAGGACCTTGTGCATGCTAGGTAAGTGCTCCACCACTGAGCTTCCTTCTAGCCCTATAATTTTTTTTTTTTTAATCACAGAATGAGATTTTAAAAAACCCTCATAATCCTATCATTTTTACTAATACTGTTACTATTCTTGTTGTCTTCTAGTCTTCTATTTGTATTCAAACATTTTATTTTTTATATAATGGAAATAAAAATTGCCAACACTTAAAAAAAAAACAAAACATCCTCCAACTTGCTACTTCCGTTTTTTATAATAGAGATCAAGAGGAAAAGAAGGAGAAAGAGCTCAAAGACAGATAAAGGACTGAAGTGCTTGTATTCACTCTTAGAGGAGTAAGCTCCCAGGGTGAAAAAGGAGGAAAATGAAATGCTCCTCAATCCACAAAAGGAACTTGTTTCCATTGCGGAGAGAAAGGACATTTCAAACGGGATTGCCCAATAGCCAAGTGACCACCCCAAAAGCCCTTCCCTAAATGTCAAGGCAAACACTAGAAGAGTGACTGTCCTCAGGGGGTAGGTCCTTGAAGCCAGACTCCTCCACACAGCCTGACGGAGCCCGGGCTCAATTCTGGCTCCCGTAACTCCTATCACTGCATGTGAGCCCCAGGTATGCTTCTCCATAGAAAGCCAAGAGGTCAACTTCCTCTTAGACACTGGTGCCAGTTATTCTGTGCTCACTTCTTACCCCAGAACTCTGTCCTCTAATACTATAACGGTACAAGGAGTGTCTGGATGGCCTATTACCAGAAAGTTTACTCCTCCACTGAGTTGTGAGTGGGACGGGATGATGTTTTCTCATGCATTTCTGATAGTCCCAGAATGTCCTACCCCTTCATTGGGAAGAGACTTACTTTCAAAACTTCAGACATCCATTACAATGAATTTCAGACTGCAAGGACCATTATGTTTGCCTTTATTAGAATGTGATATAAACCCTGAAGTGTGGGCTACTGAAGGCAAAATTGAACGGGCAAAAAGTGCAGTTCCAATCAAAATAGTCTTAAAAGATCCTTCTGTCTTTCCACATCAGAGACAATATCCTCTGCCGGGTTTCTGTTCTCGTGACTAAAAGGCTCAGGAGTCACTCTAGTTAAATTAGGCTAACTGGGCTGCACGAAATAAGCACACAAGAGACACAAATACCTTTTTCTTTGGGGTTGCTGTGACAGCTCCTCTGACCTTAAGGGTCCGCAGAAAGAGAAAGCGAGAGAGCACGCACTGACCCCTTTTATTGAGGAGAAGCTATTCAAATGAGGCAATGGGTCAGGTTTCAGGGAGCTGAGTCTATCTTCATGATGTCCACTGTCAGCAGGTTGACTGATACCTGGGTAGGCCACACCCAAGGGCACAGTAAGAGGAGGGGACACACACAAGGCACTTCCATGGAAGATTCTATCCTAAACAGGGCAAGGGGTTATATTACAAAGGAACAGGTGAGCATAGCTTCACTCTTGGGGCTATAGCAAGACACAGCCATTTCTGTGACTGAGCGCCTCAGCACCCAGCTGGGGAGTGTAACTCAGTCACCCATAAGGTTGGCCTCCCACATATTCCCCCTTTCTTAATATAAAAAAAAAGAATGTAACTGGGAAATTTTCTTTCAGTCACTTGGCTCTTGGTCCAAGGTCATCACAATCTGCTATTGAAACACAAAAAGAATTAGTAGAAAACATATTATCTTTATAACAGTTAACACAATAATCTGGATTATTATTACCTTGCCAAACACTCATCAGAAGATTTTTAATCTTTTCCCAATTTTATTGGGATGCATTGTTTTTGGCCATAGTAACAGACATTTTATTGCCATGGCATTTAGGCCTCTCCATAAACCATACAGCAAAGGGCTCACTCACATTATTCATTACATTGTCTTCTAGAACATCATTACTTAGTTCTCATCCTTCCATCAGCACTTATCTGACCATGAAGGAAGTTGGATGTAATTTAAGTCAAACATTAAGAAAATCCATACATTGTAGGTTTTAAGACATAGCCACAAAGGCCAAAATTGAATAAGCAAGGAATAATATTTAAAGTAGTCACTTTAGGGATTATGAGACCAGCAGTTTGTGTAGGTCTGGTTAATAGACATACACCTGTTTCAAAGCCTGAATATTAACTTCAGCATATTATAGTTCTGAAATATTAGCTGGCAATAATTAATGAGGCAATAAGTTGTATTTTTATAGGCTACAGGATATTTATCATTTTTTCTCTTTACTCTCATATTTAAGGAGTTAATTAGGTCTGTCAGTAATACAAATACCCTTGGAAAAATCTATTTTAATAATCTTTCCAACAATTGTCCATAAAGGTAAATGTAGTCTTAGTCACTAAAGTCCAGCATAATTGGCTGGCTTGGGTTTTTTATCTGCTGTCTAGCATAGGTTTCTGTCACTGGTGTGGTCAATTTGTTGCTCAGCTATTTGGCTACCTCGTCATGGGAGCTGGTGATAACTGACTGGTGAAAAACCTCAAGTCAATGTCCTGTAGCTCAGTTTCTTTTTGGAATGTACACAACTGTTACAGGGTTTGAGTGGGTCGTGCCTGACAATCTACATTTGTTAGAGTCTATAAACAAGTCAAGATGGCGCCTGGCATTTTGCAGAGGGAGTGGTTTGTGAAGTAATGCCAGCGAGCCATTAGTGTGGAGATTCCTTATTGGTTGACTGCTGTATCTAGTTTATGTTAATTAAGATAAGCTGCGTGGAATGTATATATACCCCTCCTGTCCTACAATAAACGGCTCCCACTCCTGTATCAATGTACACAAGTTGTTTGTCACCCCCCCCC